CACGTCTTTTGGGATGTGCCAGCAAGTACCTTGGTGTTTCCCGCAGACAGCTGCTAATTGTTCCTTGTGGACCTATATCCACTTAGCTCTTCTAATCAGGGTGCTCTGTTTCCTAAAATGAATGTGGGGTTAATTAACTCTTGATACGGATGCCTTGGAGGCCCTCTTAGAGCAGCTCCCACATTGTGACCTTGTGCTTCTTTGAAACCCTGTTCTGATGGTACTTTTAATCTGTTGTGCTCTATTTGCATGGTCCTATCTCTCATGGGATGTATCTGTGAAGCTCAGATGCATCTGCCCTTAGCTATGCCCTGTGCCGGATTGGGACATTTTTACCTCTTAAGAACCATTTCTTTAAAACTCTTTAACTTGTGAAAGGAGTACATCCTTGGTGTGCTGTGTTGCCCTCTGTGCTGGAGGATAATAAAATGCCTTGGTTGTCTTGGAGACCCTAGAGCACCCTGTTTCTTTCCTGCTGCAGCTCTGTATACAGTTCAGAAAGGCTTGCCCTGATACTTCAGGAATCCAACTGGGCAATCAGTTGCAGAAATTGTCACTAATTGCCTTTGTCTTCAGTTCTACAAAGAGTGTCCTTTACTGATGCCGAATGTCTGCCACAGATGCACTCGACTTGGCACTGAATGCCCTTTTAATAGGATAGGTAGCCAAGGTGAGGTGCCAGCTGAACAGGAGCAGTATATGTTTGGAGCTTTTCGGGTCCCTAAATCCCCTTGTGGATCTGGTCCACAATACCTTGAATTCAGCATCTCTCAGTTAACTTGCTGTGGGTGAGTTCTAGTCAGGTGATGATCTGAATCTCCTTGGGGTGTAATTCTATCCTGAGATATGTGCTTCTTCTCTGTACATGTCATGAGTGAGCTTTTGTTTTAGTGTGAAATACTGTAGTAAGTTGTAGTTGTGAAACACACAATCTTGGCACTCGCTCTTTGCCTGCAGTTGCAGCATAATTCCTAGAGAGCTTTCATAGGATGAAATGCTCTTCATGGGTCTGGGAACCAAGACTCCTGGATATGACTGTTACACACTTTTTGGACAGAAGTAAACCATCCTGTTCACTGTCCTATAAGGTGAGGATTATAATGCCTCATGAGTTCACTGGGGCAGGGTAGAGAGTGGGAGACTAACTCAAATGAAAATCCTAGTGAAGTCTAAAAAGGTCCTAGCATTAACACAAGCTGGCAAATTGACCTGAAGACTGCCATGCTCCGTAATTGTTTAGCAGGTTGAATTGATTAAATGATGGGTGAGGAGCAGCCGTTTTTTTTTTTTTTTAAGTTCAATTTGTGTGAGAACCGCAAGCTGCCGTGTTGTGGCTAACTTGTGCCCCCCTAACAATACACCTATTTCTCTTTCTTGGGGAAGGAAAAATCTCAAAGGTGTGAGGACTGATTGATTTTATTCTTAAAGAGATCTGAGTTGCCTCTGAAAGCAGCTCTGATGTGGACACAGGAATACCAGGGGACTTGCTTTGATGCACACTTCTATTTTTTTTTTTACATGTTGAATGGAACCTGCATATAATAAATCTAATGTAACACGATGCTACAGAGTGTTTCTAGGTAAAATTTTGGGTGATGGAAGTCATTTGATCTTCAGTCATCTGTTTGGTTTTTTTTGTTGTTGTTGTGGGGTTTTTTTTTTGGTTTTTTTTGGTTTTTTATGTACCTGCATTTGGCATTTAATGAACCAGTAATGCATAGTTCATAGATTCATAGATGTTAGGGTTGGAAGGGACCTCAATAGATCATCAAGTCCGACCCCCTGCATAGGCAGGAAAGTGTGCTGGGTCTAGATGACCCCAGCTAGATGCATATCCAACCTCCTCTTGAAGACCCCCAGGGTAGGGGAGAGCACCACCTCCCTTGGGAGCCCATTCCAGACCTTGGCCACTCGAACTGTGAAGAAGTTCTTCCTAATGTCCAGTCTAAATCTGCTCTCTGCTAGCTTGTGGCCATTATTTCTTGTAACCCCTGGGGGCGCCTTGGTGAATAAATACTCACCAATTCCCTTCTGTGCCCCCGTGATGAACTTATAGGCAGCCACAAGGTCGCCTCTCAACCTTCTCTTGCGGAGGCTGAAAAGGTCCAGATTCTCTAGTCTCTCCGTGTAGGGCTTGGTCTGCAGGCCCTTAACCATACGAGTGGCCCTTCTCTGGACCCTCTCCAGGTTATCCGCATCCCTCTTGAAGTGCGGCGCCCAGAATTGCACGCAGTACTCCAACTGCAGTCTGACCAGCGCCCGATAGAGGGGAGGTATCACCTCCTTGGACCTATTCGTCGTGCATCTGCTGATGCACGATAAAGTGCCATTGGCTTTTCTGATGGCTTCGTCACACTGCCGACTCATGTTCATCTTGGAGTCCACTAGGACTCCAAGATCCCTTTCCAATTCTGTGCCACCCAGCAGGTCATTCCCTAGGTTGTAGGTGGGCTGGACATTTTTCCTCCCTAGGTGCAGCACTTTGCATTTCTCCTTGTTGAACCGCATTCTGTTGTTTTCTGCCCACTTGTCCAACCTGTCCAGGTCTGCTTGCAGCTGTTCCCTGCCCTCCGGCGTGTCCACATCTCCCCATAGCTTTGTGTCATCTGCAAACTTGGACAGAGTACACTTCACTCCCTCATCCAAGTCGCTGATGAAGACATTAAAGAGTATCGGTCCAAGGACCGAACCCTGTAGGACCCCACTTCCCACACCCTTCCAGGTCGAAACCGACCCATCTACCACGACTCTCTGGGTGCGACCCTCTAGACAAATCACCTCCCACCGGACTGTGTAGTCATCCAAGTCACAGCCTCTTAACTTGTTCACCAGTATGAGGTGGGATACCGTATCGAAGGCCTTCCTGAACTCTAAGTATACGACATCCACCCCTCCTCCTAGTTGGTCTAATATAAGGTATCATCTCTGAACCAAGAGTTCTAGATTTTTGCATTCCCTGTGCTCATCTACATGAATTTGAACAAAAACATGTCACATACCACAGTGTGTCAATCCTAAAACTTTTCCTGCAATTAATCATGTGTGTGGTTACCGTGTTAGACATGGGGTAAAATACAGTGGAGTTATAGGTGGTACCATCCTTTGTACAGATAAAAAAACAACTTTTCTCTCATTTTTACTACCTTGGAGGCCTTCATGCAGCATCCTCTGTCCAAAGACTTTGAAGCACCTTGCAGGTATTAACAGAGGAAATCTTATGGCCTCGCTGCCTAGCAGCCATTACCAGCTCCATTTCACAAATGGAGACACCAAGGCTAGGAACAGAAGTTACACACAAACTAGTTTAAGTCATCAGAAACTGGCTTAAACCTGTAACAGAACATAAATTCAGTGCACATAAACCAGTTTCAAAATGGCTGAAAGTGGTTTAAGATAAACCTGGTTGGATGTAATATCAGACTTAACTGATTTGGGTCAAACCAGTTTATGAAACTTCTGTCCCAGGCTCCTTCCTGGTTCAAGATAAATCACAGTCTCCCAGTATCCCAGCACACTTTGCTGTCCTGGACTGGGCTGTCTGCTGCAGCAGAAGGGTTTGGGGGGGGGGCAAACCCGGGCTGGGGGCTGGAGCCAGAAAGCAGGGTTGAACACCCCTTCACCCATTCAAACTTACTGAGGGCTGCAACTGTGGACTACAAATCCCAGAGGCATCTGGTAGCAGCACCTGCCTGTGGCTGGAAGCAGGAAGAGCCCTGCTGCTGTGAACCTGGATGGCAAATCCCAGAGACCTTAGGGGCAGCAGGAGGAGGAAGTGAACTCACAGCCCATGCTGGCTACATGTTAGAGAGCCCTGTTTTAGGATCTTCCCCCTGGCTTCTAGCCTGAGCCACTGCAGGTATGTGGCTGCATTTCCTGAATCAAAAGTAAATGTGTGTCCACTTTGTTTCTCAGTTTGATCTCTGCAGCATAGACTAACCTGCAAAGACTGAATGGATTCAGCCTCAGGCTTTTTGACTGTCTGTACTGAGCCCAAAGCACAAAAAAATGAAGTGGCCTCCCTGGTTTTACTCCAGGATTCTATTATTAGGTGATCACTGTCCCCCAGATGGCTACCGATCTGTAGGTCCCCTACCATGTCATCCCCCGTTGCCAATACCAGATCCAGTAAGGCATTCCCCCTAGTGGGACCGTGTACCTCCTGTGTCAGGTGGAGGTCCTGTACACAAGTTAGAAACCTGTGTGAACGATGGGACTTTGCTGTCTGCGTCTCCCAGCAGATGTCTGGGTAGTTTAGGTCCCCCGTGACTACTGCCTCTTTAGCTTTTATGGTTTCCGAGAGCTGCCTCAGGAGCCCCGAATCTATTTCTTCCCCTTGGTGGGGGGGTCTGTAGCAGACCCCTACCACCAAATCCCTTTCTCCTTGCCCCCCATGTAGCCTAAAGTACATTTAGTAGTAGTTGGCTACTAAATGGGCAGCTTGAGGAGAAAGACATTATAACATTAGATCTTGTAAGTTAAGACAGATTCATGATCGTTCTTGAAGTTGTATGTGAGGGAGAAAAGCGTCTTTGATTCCTTTCAGTTAAAGGAATCTTGGAATGATTCATCTGTTGAAGGCGCAAGTTTGAAGTTCTGACAATGGTGGAAATGTGCACTAGACATCAGTGTGGAGGCTGCTGCTTTTGCCCACGGGGAGAAGGTGCGGTAACTGTAAAAGAGTGGTCAGGTTTGCTTAAACAAACAAGCTAGGACACTTGTTAATGAAACTGCAGTAAACACTGTAACTTGCCTTACAGTAAGTTGTTTGTGTAGTCCATAATATTAATTCCAGTAATGGTGTAGAGAAGTAGAATGTCACAGCTATTTCACAGCATATTCATTCCTCGCCATTCCACTAAATAAGGTCCTGCAACATAATTTCTGAAGAAGCAGTAAAGGAAACTGTGAATTATTCGGGGAATAGAAAACCAACCGTACTGTATCTTCTTGGGTTGTAAGAAATGTTACAGTGATTTACAACATTTCCTCTTGTCGACAGGGAAAAGACTGCAGGAATGGATCTGCGTCATTTTATGCTTCTCTCTTATTTCTTTCAACTTCTACAATCTCCTCTTCTACTTGAGACTGGAGCATATGACCTCTGTTATTGTTGGGATATGTAAGTAGAAACTCTTCATGTTAAGTAATTGAACATAGTAGCAAATGCATTTTGGTGAACCAGGGGAAGCATTATGGAGCTGGAGTCAAATATGATTACAAGTGTTTGTCTCCTAGTCTTGAAAATATGTTTGACCATCTGCAAATAAATATTCAGCATAGGGTATAGCTTGATACTTAAAATCATCATAGCCCTGTGACTTTCATTTCCAGCTCCTTCCCCAAGTTAAGTGGTTTGGGGCTGTATACAAGAATAACTATTTTTATTGTCCTGCCCCAGTGTCTTATCTGCAATTATGGTAAATAAATATCAGAATGTATTCAAAAGATAAATAGCTGCATTACAGAACTGCCAATTTCTTTATTTTCTTGAATGCCTAGTGGGTAAAGTGTATGGGATAGAGTTCTAAAGAAGGCTACAAAAATATCTTAGGGGTTTTTTTCTTTTAAATTTTATTGGATGGCTGTGTAACTTAGAATTTTGGTCATATATAACTGTAGAGTGTGAAGGAAGGTGTTTTGTTGAAAAGACTGCATGTTACAGTTGTAGAAATAAGGAAACTTCTAAAGTATTAAAATGTGAAACCCGCCCTTCAACCTCAAAATGTTGGCTGCATTTTTATCATGTACCCAAGATAGCAGGAAAGATTTGATTTACAACAAAGGAATTGCAAATAAAGGAATATGACTTTTGATCTCTTATTAGACTGTGGCTGAAAACAGCACCTAGATTTGGAAACTGAGAAAGCAAATTTGAATCTAAGTCAACAAGCCAGACTCTCTTGCAGTCTGGTTCTTTTGTGCCACTCCAGGGGTGCAAATGGGCCTGAAGCTGGCTAGATCTTTCTTGTTGAGATGAAGAGCCCTGCTTGGGCAAGTCCCTGATGCAACCTTGCTATTCCTCCTATTATGGGGAAGGGAAAAGAGAATTAAGGTGTGGGGAGAAGGATTGTTAATAGACTGTTTCTGTACTCTGATTCCTGGCTGGTCGGCTGCCCTTCCATTATAGTTCAAAGAACTTGAACTACTGAAGAGCCAACCTGAGAACTGAGGACCCATAATGGGCTGCTTCATTGCTCAGCTGTTCCCATGAATTCCTATGCTGCTTTATACACCTTTTTAAATGCACTGAGCTCTATTGGTGCAGTATGAAATTGGCTTAGCAGACCCTGCTTCACAAAATGGAAGTGAAACCATGGTAGAGAACTTTCTTGGCCCCTTGCCCCAAGAGATTCTTCAGCTGTTGTTCCTTTTAACATGCTTGGGTCCTTGGACAACACAGACTTGAGGGGAGGTGTGTGTTCTACCTTGGCCTATTAAAACCTTGTGTAAATAGGATGGGAATCCCAGTAATTATTTAATATGGTCAAGGTTGGTCATTTTAGATATCCAACTTGCTGGCTTTGTGCTATCATTTCCTATGGCTTGCTCCTAACCTGAGCAGTGAGACTGCTTACAAGCCACCAAGGCCTAGCCAAGCATGCGTACATTTTTTGGCTGGGGTGTGTGGATTGTTCTCTCTGTCTCTTATGAACTTTTCCACCCAAGTTCCTTGACTGTTAGAACATTCTTTTCTTCTCTTCTCCGCTCCTCACTTGAGAGAGTGTCAGTTGAAGGATTTTTCATATAAGAATTGCCTCATGATGATAAAGAACAGATGTGGGGGAGGGACTTGTTGATGACATTTAGCCCATGTTATCTGTTTGCAGCTGTCTTTCCTAGTAGTTAACAGTTATGTAAGCCTGAGCCCTGTTTTCCTGGTTACCAGCTTAACTGATAAGGTAGCCAATTCACTGATAAAGCTATTTAAATAGCAGTGGATGATTAAAGTAGCAGAATTTGGATTCTGTGCAAACAAAGTAGTGTGGAAAATTGGCTGACCACTTATTGCAGCTGGTCTTTTGAATAAAAATGTCATATACCACCTTTGTTTGCTGTTTCATCACATTGTTCCTCTGTATATTGGGGAAATGATAGCAACACTTTATCCAGATGTCTGATTTTCCAGATGAACTTTGGAAAGATGGAGAGCTTGTGACCACCTTTTTTCTCAAGCCTGTTCTCACAGAGCCCACCTAATACTGGATGGGAAGCTGATCTGTTGGATGCTGGTTATAAGATGAATTTGATTAAAAGATGGATGGCTAATTTATAATGTGCTGCTTTCTTGGGATAAAGCAAGTTCCAGTTAATTACCTCTTAAGTATCTGCTCTGAAGTGTAATCTTGTATGTGATTGTGTAGAATAGCAGTAATGTTGCAGGGCAAAAGATCTGCTGGTCCTAGAGTCTGGAACTGCATGTTTCCTGATACTTTGTCTGGCCTTTGAAGTATTCCACCTCCCCTTACCTGTAGCATGCACAGTGCTGTGTACACTGTTGCCAGTACAGCAAGTCTTTCATTTGGCCCAAGCCTCATTCCCTTTGTAAGCGGCCTAATTTCTGAGTCTCTCTTGTTCCCCAGCCTCATCCGCCTTCCATTCAGCCTCCACTGTGCATCTGTTTGCCATAGGTGCTAAATGGCCAGTTGCTATCCTTTCCTTTCAGAGCTTTAAAGGACAGGCAAAATCCATTTATTTTTTTACCCTTGAACTCGTTTAAAATGTATATCAGTGCTCACTTATTCGAGAGACAAGGTTCCCTGGGTGAATTTGATATCTTTTGTTAGACCAACCCGAATAGTTATTAAGCAAGCTTTTGGGTTCAAAAACGCTTCGTCAGGCTCTTATTCGAGATGCACTTCAGACTCTAGGAGTCTGGATCTTGTATGTTCTGGCTGTGATGCAGGCAGTTGCTTCTTATCTGATGTAGGCCTACTCTTTGCTTCAGAAGCCACCTCACGTGGCATACTGTAATGCTGGATTACCTCTTCCTGCATGTGTTAAGATCTAGAGCTGTGCCTTTCTTTCCTGTTTTCTAATGTAGTGATTCACCATGAGTTGAGAGAGAATCATTGCTGAGGGGGACTGAGCACAATGGGCACACTGTATTATTCAGATGTGCTGCACTAACCTAACCTTGTGGTAGATTTCCATCAGCAATTGCTCAATATGGGCAAGGTGTTTCAGTGTTGGCCTCATTCAATCAACTTCATAGTTGGTTTCCATTATTGAACCACTATTCAGATGCTGCTTCTGGGAGTAGTTTAATGATAGGCAGTGTGTTTTAATGAGGCTTTATTGTATTTGAATGTAAGATGAGGTGCTTCCCTATGCTGATTGGGGGGGGGGGGAACACTGTGTCTTATTTGTCTATTTGCTGTAGTGGCCCACACTTACAGCTCTGAATGTAAGTTGTGTGGGCACAGCCCACACAACACTTCCTGTGACAGGATGTCATGTGGGTTGCAGCAGTGTGCTGATTGGCCTGCATGCAGCCCATGGGTTGAGAACCATTAAAATACACTGGTATAAACTTAGTTTTTGAAATTTAAGTACTACTTAATTCATAAGCTTATGGAGGGGAGTTTTTTGAGTCCAGAGATTTTTTTTTTGAGAACTGCTGCTGTAATATGCAAAAACCTGACTTTTATTTAAATATCCAGTGTTCTCCTTCAATGTGTTCTTAGAGGTTTGTGGACTAGCCCCCTTCCCCCTGCACACACACATGCAGAGGAATAATGTTTTTAAAATGGGCATTTGTCTTGGCTTGGGGGAAAAAATTCCCTGGTCCAAGCTGATGTGCAGCTCTGCAGTCCTAACTACTAGTCACCTGCATTATGGAGGGTGGGTGAGTATGTCTGAGCATGTTGCAGTTCTGGTGAAAGGCATTCTGTATAGAATTGACTTTAACATCGAAAGTCCTGTGCACACCAAAGCTGGCACTGGTTTTATTTCTGTCCTCATTGTCACACCCTCAGACCACACCCTCCTTGTGTATCTACAAAGACTTGACTAAGACTGTTCTCTAAACCACAGACTTTGCTGTACCTGACCATGTACCTCCAAGACCCTGCCCTGCTTCATGCATGCTGCCTCTTCCTTCTCTCCCACTAGAAACAATGTAGCCCTGCCACCAAGTTCAGAGGACCAGCTAGTTAGCACTTGGTCCCTGCCCCTTGTACCATGAGGCATGCTGGAGCATGCACAGTGTTGTGTACACTCCTTCCACATGCTGTATACTTTGTACAGTACAGATATCAAACCTCAGATGAACACCATGCCAGTGTTGTGCACATGCAGCTAAGTTTTATTTCATCCCTTTTGTCTGAAAAGGCTGTGACATACATTCGCTTACCTCAATACCTAAGACAACCCATCTGAGTAAGTCATGGTCCCCTTAGCCCTAAATCTTATTGCCTGACTCTGACTGTTCTGCAAAATTAAAGTCATAATTCCAGCTGCAACCCCTGTATCACAACCTATGGTCTCTATTACAGCCTGAAGGTGTTCAGTGAAACCTTGTTAACAGTTAAGCTCTAACAGGCAACAGATGGCTGTTAACCCATTTTAATATAGTCTAAGAGAATCTAGGTCTTGAAGTCAGTCATGTGGTCTGCTTCATATTAGAATGACTACCCTGATTGCTAGTCCCTTGTTTGAACTGATAGAGAAGAGGGTACGTTTTTGTTTGTTTGTTTTTTTCCATGAGGCTGCTGTTGGATCCATTCTCTTTTTTTCCTCCAAGTGGCCAGAGGGTTATGCTGTCATGTGAGAGCTGTCTCCTTCCCTGCCTCTGGCTCCTAGTGTCAGGACAGACCAGAGAGCTATGCCGTGAATATATTAAAAATGTTGACTGCCAGAATACACACCTTGAATATGATGTCCCTGAGGCTCACCTGAGCCAGTATTTCTCCTTCCATTGGGTATAACAACTAGACTAATCTCTCGAATACTCCTGCTGGAGAACATGAGCTGAGTCTCATGTGGGGAGGGATACAGAGTTTAGGGAGCTGGGGGCTGGAGGAGATATCTGGCTAAAAGAAGCAAACTCTCAAGGAACATTGTGGCTCCTAGGCCCTGAAAGGTGCAGGCTCTGGCCCAGGCTCTTTAGATGTGGAGCAA